GTGCCATTTTTTACGAATATTATTACGTGAATTTATATGTAGTTTCGCTTTAAAAGAGCGTAATCGGGCAAATATTTTTCGAAATAGCTAAAAGTATCGATTCCAAAATGTTATAAATGGAAAATGAAACTTTTTCTTGAGAAAAAGGAATCTGCAATATTTAATAAAATATCAACCCATATAATTTTCCCACTATAAAGATCAGACCATATCTCGATTAAGAGTGTATTTTAAAATGTACCTGAATCATGTAAAGCCATTATTGTGTATCTTCTCTGTGTTCCGAAACTTAATTTTGTAGGCCCTTTTTCTATGTTTACGCATCTTCTGAGCTGTAAAAAATGATAGGGGTGTATTCTTTATCCACTGTGTAGTGAATGCACAGATTGGAATGGGTTCCAACAATGAAAGGGTCAATTTCGTTTAGCTTTACCAAGATTACTGGTGTAAATCCCTTGAGTTTTCTTGACTCGTTAGTTTGAATTTGGTCGTGATGATGATACCTTGCTCTGATGATGTTCGTCATATGACGCACGAAAGCTTAGCAACTTTTCATCGGAATCGAAAGAGATTGCCTCGGAAACAGCGTCAGCATGAATGCTCCTGTAAAGCCAATCGACAGCTGGTCAAGAGGAATCCGCCGTCGTCTTCTGGTCGACTTCACCTTGGAATCTTTCACTCGAAACGGAAGTAAGCACAACAATTATGAAACAAGACATTCCTCGAAACCCTTTTTCTTATCTTTTTTCGTTTTAGGCCCTCTTTGGTTAGTTTGTTAGTCCATCGTTTGATGTGCATGTGTAGAGAAGGTGGAAGTGAGAAATGTCTCTAATTGGCTACTCTCAGAAGCGCCCGAGCCCATCCCCTTCGAAGGCAGTAACAAAACGCCAATGTCGCTTACCGGAAGTGTTCACCGCCCTTTTGACGGATTCGCCTCGAAAGGCCTCCGCCTTGCCAAGCCCCCTTCGGGTCGATGCTGCCACTGACGACGACAACGATGGCAATGACGATGACGATGACAATGACGACGAAGACGACATGAAGTCACGAAGCAGCTCCTCCAATCCAGCTCGAGTCGACTGCAGATGCTCTTCACGGCCGGACTCGACCAGCGGTTCGGTGGACGGACCGCATGACCTGCCCTCCTTCTCACCGCTCC